ACACACGCACACACACAGCCCTACACCATTACCTCTTTCCTGAGCCCACTTCTTAAAGTGTTAAAAAGGTACCAGAGAAAAGAAAAAGTAAAGTAAAAAGGAACCCTACTTTTCTTTTTGTTTGTGTTTCCTTCCCCACTTGAAACTCGTGGGTGGTTGGCAGGTGCTCTGGTGTGGTTTGCTCCTTCTTTCCTATCAACATGGCGCTCATATGACCTTATGCAGTTGCGAGCGCCGTAAAACCCTCTACTATAAAAAAATAAATAAAACATCTATCGTTCTTATCTCTCCTCCCTCTTTTTTGTGTTTGCTACTCTCTTGCAACACCTCTAATCTTCGGCACTTATGTGACCTTATTGTGTTGCAAGTGCCGTAAAACTCTTACAAAAACTAAAGACTTGACTCATTTTTCTTTTGGTTCTTGTTTCCAGCCACAGTCTAAACTGGTGTGTGGTTTCACCACGGAGCTGAACCTGACCTCCGACCTTGACCTGTACCTGAGCACGAGTCAGGTGAAGCTGCTGAGCCAGGCAGTGTCGCAGTTTGTCCCGTCCGGGGGTCACCACACCGCCACAGGGCCACCCGCCAACCGCCCTACCCCCACATCCAACTCATCAGGCGATTTGTCTGCGACGACCTCCTACTTTAACCCTGTGGGTGGTGGTGGTGTGCGGCCGGAGATGAAAGGTCAGGTGGGGGTCGGGCTGACCGGCGGTAGAGAGTTCCCGACTCCCCCGCTGACCGGCGGGGTGGACAGTGGGGTGGAGAGTGAGGTGTCGGTGCGTACGACGGACAGACAGCGGACCCACGGTGGTGCTGCGATGGATAGACAGCGGTCTCACGGCGGTGCTATGATGGACAGACAGCGGTCTCATGGCGGCGCCCCGAGGTGGGAGAGAGGTGGCGCGGGGTTCGCGGTTTGTGCTGGCGGCAAGGAAGGATTGACGTCTGCTGTAGATGACGGAGCTACCGGTGATGGGTGGGCGGGTTTACCTCCCCTTGACGTGCTGCTGACTGCTGGTCGCATCTCTTGTACTGTCTATACACACAAGGTGAGGAGGGTTGAGGGGAGGGGTGGGTAGAGAAAGAAAAGGTGAGGGGGTGGGGGGTAGGAAGGGAGGAGGGAAAAGGGGGGGACTAGAGAATGTTTGTGAGTGTTCCAATCTATGTTATGCTGATATATAGTGTACAACACATAGGGCTTGCTGTTGTGTGGGGATATGGGCTGTACAAATGCTGTTTGTGTGTACTGGTGTAATCAGGTGCTCGTCAAAACCAACATTTTTCCGCATTTTGGTCAATTTTTGTTGAGTTTCTTTTTGCCTCAAAAGTTTTTATGTCCATTTAACTAGACACCTCTGAGTGGATTTTACAGAAAAGCGTTGATAAAAAGCACTGAAAAAAAAAGTTTGTAGTTGCCAAAAACACTAAAGCTTTGGTGGTCAATTTCTCACAAATTTCTCCTCTGATACCACGAGATCACCCCCTTCAATCAGTAATATCTCTACTTCTACTAAAGATAATTGGGTATTGTTTTCATCAGAAGCATAACTCCTTATGCATTATGAAACGCCGTCTTGATAGTTAATCCTTATTCATAGTACTGTTATGTTCATTATGTGATGTTTGCATTGTCATTGATTGTACTACGGTAGTATGTTCATTATGTGATGTTTGTATTGTCACTGATTGTACTGTGGTAGTATGATTGTCTGCTAATGTGTTAGCGTTAACCCCCCGGGGCGGTGCCACTGACTGAAGTGTCTTAAGGCCATTCCCAAAGGGGGGACATTTCTCGTTCAAGCATAGTAGAATTGTAAATGGGCTGACTCATGTCACGCTCATAACTGTGCCTGATCTACGACAGGGAACTGCTGCTTTTTCTTTCCTGTTCCTTACTATTATCATTTTCCTCTACTTCTTTTGTATGTTTGTCACTCTTTTGTGACCTGCTATTTCCGGGGTGCCTTGATAATCAAAACAGACCTTCTGCTGTTGAAGCTAGAGAGGCGAGCAGTCAAAGTCTGATTCCCTGTAAAGACTTCTCTGTTGACATCCACCCCTTGGCGCTCATATGACCTTATGCAGTTGCGAGCGCCGTAAAACCCTCTACCCTAAAAAATAATGTTAGCGTTAATCTAAAGAGTGTGTTTGTGTAGAGAGGAAGGTATCGTAAAGCGCCTAGAACTGGATTGTACGGGAGTGGATGCTATAGAAATTTTCGGAATTATTTTTATTATTATTGTTTTTGTATGTCCAAAAACTGAGGAACACCTGATTCCACCATGTCGTGACTCATTTACTATTTATTGTCTATTGCTATTATTGTTCGTTTTCCGTTATTACTTTGTATTATTGTTGTTATTATTTTCATTTTTCTTCTTCATCTTTATTATTGTATTATCACTGTTATATTATTGATTTTTTATTATTATTAATTGTTTATATTATTATCATTATTATTAATGTGTTTATATTATTAGCATTATTATTATTTTTGTTGTTGTTTGTCATTATTTAAAACATTATTATTGTTATTATTATTATTGTAATAGTAATAATAATTATTATTAAGCATTATTATTAATTATTTTTTAAAACATCTATTCTTCTTTGTCTCCTAGATTCTGTCAGAGACCACCACCCTAGAAATGCCACTGTTATCATTATCTTTTCTTATCATTTATTATTATCATTATTATCATCATTTAATCATTATCTATTGTACTTTTTCCTGTAGATTCTGTCGGAGACCATCACTCAAGAAATGCCACTGTTCCGAGAGTGTGGCAAATACCGGCGACCTTCAGCTCAGAGCGAGGGCGGAGGTCACACACGAGTGGCCCCAATGTCGGACAACCTCGGAGCTGTCCTCAGCGTGACCCCGCCACAGGGCAGCGGGTCTCGGCGGGGCGGTAGGGAGGCGGACGAGGAGGGTGGGGGGACGGAGGAGGAGGAGGAAGAGGGTTCGGATCCCAGTGAAGAACCATTCACTACGTTCAACTTTATGAAGGTTTGTACGCTGTGTTGTTTGTTGGTGGTAGGGGAGGGAGAGGGAGAGGGAGAGAGAGAGAGAGAGAGAGAGAGAGAGAGAGAGGGGGGTAGGGGGGTAGGTGGAGATAAACTGAAAACAAAAGTCGAAGAATGGAAGTATTACATAGAAGAGAGTTAGGCTGCCGGACCCGTAATCATGAGGTTGCGGGTTCGGGGGTCCGAGCCTCAGCTGGGCCCAACGTTGTTTCCTTGGGTAAGGTATTTGACACGAATTTCCTGTTTGGCTTGGTCCTTTCGAAGATGGACGTCACACTCGTCTTATTTTTAGTAAGAGTTTTACGGCCCTTAATTGCAACGCAATTAGGTAATACACGTGCCGAAGATTTAAGGTGTTACAAGAGAGTAACAAGCATTAAAAAGGGAGGAGAGATCAGGACGTCACTGAGGTTCAGTCTCTTAAAAAAGGCAGTTGTGTTAAACATATATACCATTTCACGATTTCATTATAGAGACACACGACACAGGCAGAAAAATAGTCAATTCCATCTACAGGGAGATCTTTAAAAACTTTGCAACTTTTTTGTAAACATTTTCCTCCACACTGGCGCTTGGTGTCTTTCAAATTTGAACAAAATATTTGGCAGTCAAAAGGAATTTGTCTGGTATTCATTTTAGACAGTTCCACAGAACAGTTTTTTTTCTCCGAATAACGCAAAAGAAAACAAACCCATTTTTGCCTTGTTCCCATTTGTGCAACATGACGCACCAGATCGCAACGATCGCGCCATATATTGTGGGCTACAGCAGTCTAACAAGTCAACACAAGTTTGCAGATATTGTTTTTTCTCAAGATTCCTTTGCCTGCTGAGATCATAGTAAAGTTTAGTTAAAAGCAGTGACCTTTTTTTTGTCTCCAGCTCACCATCCCCAACATTTCGTAAGTTGTCGCACAAGGTACGGAAAGCTAAAGAGCCCTCAAGGCCTTTGATGCCATGGGAACAGTTGTTTCGGCAGTTTGAGTCTTCAGAGATTCAGAATTTAAATTTTCTAGACAAAACGACCACTACAGGTCGAAAACGCACCGTTCTCACCCCTTTAAATGTCACCAGGATACAAAATTCAGTTGTCGAGTCCCATGAGACGTCTGTCCACTGACTATGTCTGCGGCTAGGACTTTCCTGCACCTCAACGGTCCGCTTTCTCATAGGTTCACCAATGACAGTATCATTTTCATCTGCATGAGGTTGACACGGATCAGAGGATGGCAATGTGTTCATGGTTCTTCGGTCGACTTGAAAAGCGTGAGCATCTCCTCAATGACATCCACTGGTTCAGTGGCAGAACCCATTTTCACCTTTCAGGATATGTTAACTCCACAAATGCTGTCTGTTGAGCACCACACCCACTACCTATCATATCTAGAAGACACTTAGTACAGAAAAGTTTACTGTGCGTGGGGTTTTAGGCATTCATGGTTTGTTGGGTCCTTACTTTTGGCCACCATAAACGACGCGTCAAAAATGTTTCGAATCCAAAGGAGGGCATGCACTGGCTCTAAGGATTCTAGAATATCAATGTTAGTTTTTTGTTTGCTTGTTTGTTTTTAATTCTATAAGAGGAATGCACCATTATGTAAATGTAACAGGGATGGAAAAAAATTAAATGTTAAAAAGAAAACGAAGAAAAAAAACAACAATCGGTTCATGACGTTCCCTAAAAGATCTTTAATTGGAGCATTTTGCGTTTATGGAAGGCTTTCTTTAAGCCGTTCTCGTTTTCAAATAAGTTTTATCTTTATGAATTTAAAGTCGAACAAATCTCTTTCGAAAGAATAATCGCTGTTCCAAATTACAACATCCTAAAACTATTTTTATGCGAGATATTCAGATAAAAAAAAGTTGTAAAGTTTTTTTGGGCTTTTTTCCATCACCCTGTACTTGCATAATAAACGTCCGTCTTCTGTCTTGCGCAATCGGAAAGCACAGAAACAAAACAAAACTCGGAGATAATTTTTTTTTAATGGGGGGGGG